ATAACCCAAAATAAACTAGCCCTCTTTCCTGCTCTCATTGTGCTCATCTTACCCTGCATTTATCAACAGTTGCAAATACACGTCTGCTCAAAGAATAGCTGGAGTTAATTTGAACTTGTGTTGTGATGTGTGAAGTGTTACAACCCGGCTCCTGGGCTGCAATAAAAAGCAGGGAGACGAGACGAGGGGTAAGAATATAACAGTTGTTTATTCTCAATAAACAAATAATGCAAGGAACCAGCCACAGGTCCCCGAGGCTGGCACGGAGAGCGTGCTTATCAGCTCTCACACAGGTGCAGCTCGTCAGGCAATGGAACCTGCAAACACAAACCACACACACACACACACACACCAGACGGCACCCCACGTGGAGTGGAGGGGTCGTCAGTCATACTTTACAGAGGACGAAATGTTGTAGTGATTATACAACCAAAAGATCTATGGCCATTGAAAAAGCCTCCACTGATGGTCAAGCAGCCACAAAATCACAACAATAATAAACTCTCCTTCAGTAGCCACAGTTCACAAAGTAGCAAGAGCATTAAGGACTGATAACCTGGACTAAGTTACCTCTGACACAGGTTTTTGTGCTGCTGTCTTTGTTTTTGGCTACCTATGAGAATTTGTTCTTGAATTAGCCTGCTGCACTCTCACATTGTTTATTCTATTGTGCATACAATCATCAAATTCTGCATCCTCTTTAATGTTACATTAGATCTTACTTTTAACAGAGATGTATATTTATAATGTATAATGGTGCATCATTGCTATCCAAAGAAAATCATGTATCTACATTTTTGGATTTTCATTTAGGAGTGTTCTCATGTTCAACATTGTCCTACTTCCTGAGCTAATGTGAAAGAAAATAGAATTATTTGAAAATAGGCTCTTTTCTTTAAACATTAATTTTTTCGAGATACACTTTTTTCACATGACAGCAACAGCCTGCTGCAGGGTAAAGTCCTGCTATTCTGGGAGCCAAGTCTTAGTGCGAATGAATGGGGCTTCACAACATAAAGGAAACCTTTTTCTAAAGGAAGTAAGAACAGGAAAGTTATGTGTTAAGATTTCAAAAACAAATATATGTATGGACAGTAAGAAATTCTGCACTAACAAAAATACATCCATTATGAAGTGGAGTTTTGTTTATATTTTAAAACCTATTTTATTAATTAAATGTCAGTCTTAACCTCAGATAGCCCCGTTTTCCTCCCCTGTCTTGAGAGTGTAAGAGATAAATGTGCTCACGGCATGAGGGGAGATTTCTTTCAAGTATTTGGGTCAGAAACAAAACATAGCGACTGATAGAGAGCAGAGCGCTGGGGGAGGGATGAGAAGATAGCAGGGCAGACAAACAAAACTGCTTAAGAACACATGGACTTTCCCCACGTGAATCAATATTCAAGCCCCGATCTCCCTGTTGAGCAATGAGGCCGCAGAGAAGAGGGAGCTGAAAGACAGATGAGACAGAGGGAGGGCTGTGGGATGTCATGTGTAAAGAAGGAGATTCTCATTGGAGGCAAAGAGAAAGAACATCGCTATACACGCTGAAACCATCTTTGTTGCACTGCTGCACTCTGGACTCCACATCCTAGTGTTTTAAGGTAAGTGCTGGACACATAGCTGCCAATAGATACAAAGATGAAATAAAAAATGATGAAGGTTTGGATAAAACAACATTTCTATTTTTAGTTGCAGTTTGTTCAGGGGGAAAAAAGACAAACTCAATGTCGAGGCTTCATGTTGGGATGTGTTGCATTGTTAAAGCATGTTTTAAAACATTTTAAAATGTAGTTTTTATTTGTGTTTGAAATGTGTGGTTGCACTATATATGTCCCTGTGGCAGAATGTGAGAATCTTGACACTGGAAAACATTTTCACTCACAAATTATAAAGCAAAACTGTTTTTCATCAATCTTCCTGATAAAGATATTATGATTTCTCTTCTTGTAGACTAATAAACTAATTAACTTTGAATGAGCTTTTTTTGCAGGAGGACTGCATTACAATTCTGAAATCATAAATTATACACACATCATTTTTACACTAGAAATGTTACATAATGAGAGATGTTCTTAGTGTGTAGTGCGTAACAGGTGCAGCCAAAAAACTTCCTAGCATAAATCCAGTTCATCTCTGCATGAGTGTAAGAGACAAACACACTTAATTGCAGAAATAAGAGAACAAAGATGACTCATTTGGTTGTTTTTCTTTTTGTCCCTCTTGTGTTTAATGTAGTAGCTTTGGAGGAGAACAATCTGTAACAAGACTGGCATGATGTCCTCAAAATTGAAGTGGCTGATTGTGATCCAGCTCTTGCTGAATGAACAGGCTTTGTGTAGGGTCCCTCCTCCTCTGGCACTTAGAAACACTCCTCTTCCAGAAGCAGATTTCAATGAGGCGGGAGAGGAGACAGCCAAACAGGAACATCCATCTCTCCTTGAATCCCAACTTGATGTCCCATCTGCAAACAAACCTGAACCTGTATTAGGGGTCGAACAAAAAGAGGAGAGAGTTCGATCTGCCCAAAATATAACATCCGTGCTCAGGGCAAAGCTCGCGGGGAAGATTCAAGATCATCTCCACATCCAGGGGAAGGTAAGCTGTGAAGAGCTGCTGTCTGCCAGCACTGTGGACGACCCATCATCCTCTATGTTCCCCCAGGAGCTCCTGGGGCTTTCTTTAGTGCCCGTGTTGTTGGTGGCAGGCTGCCCTCAGGAGGCACACACCTTGGTGCTCAAGCTGTACGACCTTTTAGGAGTGGCTGACGCGGAGGAGCTCCTGATGGAGGTAGAGGGTCTGATGGAGAGGAGGATGAGCAAGTCCACGCCTGCACCGGCATATGAGAGGGATGAAGCAGGGCGCCACATAGAGGCTGTGATGTTTAACATCCAGCAGCTGGCCACGGTGGGGGAAGATTCCTCCAAGCAGGAGGATCATTGTGAGGGTTGGAGCAGGGTGAGGGGCACCATGCTGGCAGGAGCAGCAGTGGAAGGAGCCACAGGTGATCTACAGGAGGCCGTGAGCTCCTGCGAGAGGCTGGGGGTCCTGTGTGCCGGTGTGACCAGCAGTGGACTCAAACCTGGGAAGTACCTGGCAGTGTTTAAGAAAGGCAGTCGTGTCCTGCCCTCTGAATCCACAGTGTCTGAGTGTTGGATCCGTCAGTGCAGCACAGATGAGGATGTTTGGACCTCTGCTGCTTCAGGTGGACGTCTGAAACGCAGCCCCAGAAGCTGCATCAACAAAAGCGAGCAGCGCGTGTACAACGTGGTGGAGTGGATCCCTGCGGTCAGCACCCTCTACAATCTGGGCACAGCTGTGTACTACGCCTCGGTCAACTGCTCTGCAACCGCCAAGGAGAGAGCCATCCTCAGCGCCGTGGACCTCGGCACCGACGCTCTCATGGTGGCCACGGGGGGGACGGCGGGGGTGGCAGGTTACGCTCTGGGGGCAGGGATGAAGACCGGTGTGAAAGCTGGCGTCAAGTATCTGCTCAACTCCATGAAGAAGGAGGATGATGTGCTGGTGAACCAGTTCAGCTGGGAGGACGGTGTCATCACCATCCAGTAGACTGGGGATCAATAAATTAAGCTGAAACGCTTGAGCAATAAATATTGTTATAAGTAATTCATTTAAAACAACACAGGATCAATGTTTGATGATTGAAATGGTTGAAGATTAATTGGTTTGTTTTTTAAGGAACAAGATTACACATTTTGGGGATTTTCAGAATCAAATTGAAAAGTAAAAATGTTTTGTCTGTGTGAGCGCACACACATTTAATTTGTAATCTATTAGACACAATGATTATTCTTTTTTTATTTTTATGACGACAGTGATTTTCGAATTAGTATGTAACTCATGTAAATTAGTTTTGAAGTTCTTTTGGGGCAGATACAACTAAAATGTAATGAAAATTCAATTACAGTAAAAAGTTGATTACATTACACTTTAATCTCAATGTAAGGAATATAATTAGGGCCATATGTGATTTTTGTTTTGTTGATCTGACCAATTTTTGTTTGTTTTTTCAGTCAGAACTCAAAATAAAATGATGTCAATAATATAAAGGAAAAAGAAACCAGGTCATAAAGTACATTTTGAACATGTTAGCTTTTAGATAGCGTCTTGTTTGGATAATGGCTAATAGTGTAACATTGTTTTATATTAGGCAGTAACGTTTGAAGAACTGGTCTCAGGAAATTAAACCTTTAATCCTCAAGACTTTCATTTTGCTTTCCATCCAATGTCTACATTTTGTTGTTACCTATCTGTGAAGACATTTTGTCAGGTCAGTCATATTCCCACCTCTGGTGTTAACTGCAGGGACAATAGACAGAGAACTAAATAATGTTGTTATATATGCTTTTTCTTTGTTTAAAAGGTCAATAAATTGTACATTTAAACCTTACAGTGACGGTCAGTGTTTTAGTTTTGCACAGACATAAAGTGTTTGTATTTGTATAGTAAGATGGTCTAATGGTTACAAAACAGTTGGCAATTGACAAGAACATACTATTCAATGCGCCTTTTCACATAAAACTATGATTTATATGTATGAGTCATGGTGTGCATACTTAGCTCTAGCCACATCCAGTACTTATGTCTAAACAAAGTTTTTATTTAAAATATGTACAGTATATTTTAGGGTATACAAATCTTTACCACTCGGCATCGGTTGAGACTAATGGGTTAATGTGAATGGGGAATGGAGTAACTGACTTTTCAAAGCCTGTTAAAGGTCCCACATGCCTGCTGCTGATTTACAAATACACAATCTCCTCCAAGAAGAAACTAAATCAGCTCCCTGCAGACACGAATGAATGTAAATAAAAACATGTCTGCCTCTTCAGATCTTAACATAATAATGATAATTTCGATTTTTATAGCCCCTTTCAAGAAACCCAAGGACGCTTTACAATGGGAATAACAAAACAAAACAATTATAATAATCACACAGACACACAGGTTGAAAAACAGATTGCTGGGTACTGCATTTTAGCTGGGGCCGAAGGCCTGAGTGAACAGATGGTGTTTCCCAACCCATATTATTTCCTAACAATGCTAATAGAACATAGGAGCACTTTTGATAATGCTGATGTTTAACTACTCACATGCTGTGCTACAAAGTGCAAACCATGGTGTACCACCAAATGTTGGTGTATCATACCGTTTCACCCTGTGATAGACATTTGGCCTAAGTGGGATCTTCTTCTTGTCCAATTCATACTGCAACCAGCAATCTGTCCCAAACAAGATATTTCATATGGGCCCAAATTATTATCATAAACAGACGTGAGTAATGAAAGATGAACAGTTAACCTGTTAAGCCCCAAGAACCCCGCCGGCGGGTACTTTTTTTTTTTCACGACGCTGTGTCTCAGGGGATCTTAATATTTAAGAACCTATTAATGTGTTATACCAGATTAACGGGAATAATCTCACCTAACTGACGATACAAACCATTTTTACCAAAACAAAACACAAGTCTCATAAGAAGCATCTAAATGACCCCTGAGCGAAAAATGCTAACGCACTTTGGCACAGAACTCAAGATAAAAGATATCCTTATTACTTATTGTAGCTCAGGGGCGTAGCTGGAAATTCTGGGCCCCATGAAAGAATCTATTTGTGGGCCCCCAATCCATGCGAGTGCGCGTTAGCGCGCACGTTAAAAAAAATTTGGCCATTTATTTATTGATGAAAACGCATAATATGGTTTTTACCTATACATTCGGATCAGCAGTTCAGCACCAGTTCAGGATGTCGCATTGCGTTCATCTTCAATGAATGGACCAATGCAATAGTCTACCAAAGAATCTTGAGTCGCACTAGCTACTGTAGGCATATTTTCCCCTATTCTTGTGACAATGTTTTCTGATACTCAACATACAAAAGCTGTTACTTGTCCTGTCTCTCTGTAATCCCATCTCCAACACAAATAGTCTACTCAAACAGACTATTAGGTTGACAGACACTTACATTTTGATGTGCTCTGTAGTATATAATTGTTCCCTGCTTGGATATACCTTTTACGAAGCAGATTTTGAACTGTCGCGGGCAGAGCACTAGCTTTTTTGCTGTAGCGGCCAGGTTGCTGCCTTTGTCAGCAGAGTGCTAAAGCCCTACCTGTTACACGCGCAAGTAATTCGAGGAGGCGCGAGTGACAAGTGTTGAGCTATTGGTGGGGACAATTCAGGATTCTTGGATACTGGTGGGGTCATGACCTTGCGTCCACTCCCGAAACGACATGATGAAACCCAACCTCGAAAACCCTGTTGAAGTTAATGAACTGTAATGGACTGCAAGAAATCAACATGCACTGACTATCAACTTTATCTTCTGTCTATTTAATTGAAAATTACACCCAATCCAGGAATGAACAAACAAAAATCTCAACATTCTTTGACTTATTAAATTAAGATTTGAACAACACAAGGACAAAAGTATAAATGAACTGAAGATTTGAACACAATTATAAAACAATAAACTCTCAGGACATGAACACACTTACAGCAAACAATGAAAAGTGTAGTGCTAGAGGACTATGCATCAGATAGTAATTGTTCACAATGTGGGCTGTAGCCTGTCAGCTTACTATAGGGAAACATCCAACAATCCTGTCATAGACTGGATTTTTATCCCTAAATCCCGAACGCCAATCGCCGGACCTTCTCGGTGGCAAAATCTTTTACGAGCTCTTTGAAATCAAGTGACAGAGCCAGCTTGCTTTCAATCGATAACATTGCAAGGCTGTTCAACCTCTCTTGCGACATGGTAGATCTTAAATAACTCTTGATAAGTTTCAACTTACTAAATGATCTTCCACCACCAGCTACGGTAACTGGGAGCGTCAAGAAAATTCTGAGGGCAATGCAAACGTCTCCAAAAATGCTCTGGAGTTCCATCTTGTATATTGCATTCAGTAGATCAAGAGAGCTACAATCAGGGGGGAAATGGCAGAAAATATTTTATTGAGATGCCTTATCTCACTCTCAAACTGATCTGTGAGATCCTGTGAGTATTTCTCCCTCAGTGGCTGACACACAGAAGCCATGACACTGCACTCAACTTCCCAATTTTAGATGGCAGCAAATTCTCAACA